TGTGGATATTAGCTACAAAATAAGCCTGTGGTTACGTCGTAGAACGTTTGCCACAAATAGCCACATTTTATCATTATCCACAAGCTTGACGCTACAAAAACAATTTTGTGGTCGTTCGTAGCTATCGATCAAATAGCTACAAAATACCGATCACAGCTACAAAAACAATTCGCGGCTAAAAACAGATTTTCTTGTAGTGGTTAAAAAAAAACATTTTTCACTTTCTGAATAGTTATAGAGCATATAAAATCTTTACTTAATCTATACAAGGTGGATGACTCTAAAAATTAGTGTATGAAATTAAACAAGAGTTTTTGTATTTAATCTATACAAGAATTAATATGAGAAAAAAATAAACCATTTTGACATAAAATATGAGATCACTTTTTTTTTCAAAAAGAAAACATCATATAGACTATTTGAAACCATCACAACATATCAATGTCATAACTCTTTAATGTATAAAAAACTATTGTAAACAAACAAAATATATCTTACCACATATTATCTTTTTTTACCTAAAACTTTCTAAAAGACAAAAAATCATTATCATACACATCTTTTACAAATGCAAACCTAAAACCAAATCACAAAAACCATACAAAAATAGTAATCCAGATCACAAATAAATTATTTCCCGCTCTACCTAAAACTTTTTAAAAGACAACAAAATCATTATCGTACACATCTTTACAAATGCAAACTTAAAACACAAACCACAAAATCGTACAAAAATAGTAATCCAAATCACAAATAAAGTATATCCCGCCCGTAGGGCGGGCCGAACCTAGTGAAATTATATTCAAAACTAATAAGTTACCTGTTAAAATTTGTGTTTATATTTTATATCATTATATAGAATAAAAACTACCAAAGACAAAGGAGTAGGAAATGCTTTTCTTTTTTCTTCTTCAAGCTTTTGATACCCTACCACTTGCATCCAAAAAGCTGAGTATATAATAAAAACATCCACACATAAGCCATAGTTATAAGTGGTATACTATAGAAACAAACATTAGTAGACAAAAGAGATTGCTTTCTCTAAGAGGGGGTCCATGTTTAGCCACGACCACTACAAGAAAACACCAAAAATTCCAAAATCCAATACATGCACATAGAAGAGGAATTAAGCAAAAGATGCCAAAGGAAACTAAAACTATTTTTAAAAAGAAAATAAAATTATATTGTTGATTTTTGACATTTTGTCCAAACATTATTTACTATATTGAGTTTGGCTGTGTAAGCTTTTTTTTTGTTCTCTCATCTGAGTGGATGGGGTTAGGTTTTGGCACTCTGAAGCTTTTGCCTAAAATGTACACGCAACACTTGTCTCTCACATTTATTTCCCCTAACCCCTTCTGTCTTTATCATCATTCAAAACGCCATTGCCACATGTCTCTCTAGGGTTTTCACTTATACGTTTGGATCTTTCTTTTGTGTATATGTTTTTCTTTTTATCTTCCATATATGTTCACAATTATAGCAAAGACAGAGCAAAGGCTTGGTGAGTTCGAAGTTGGAAAAACTGCAAAGGAGAAAAAGTTCGTCTTTTGTAAAGCTAATACTCTCAATGCATGAACCAAACAAAAACAAAGAAGGTGAAAATCTACAACCAACAAAGACATGCTCTTTCTATTAAAAGCATGAGAACACACAATGTTATAATATATACATACAAATCCATATTAAAGATAAGTTTTCTCACAACATGTTGAAGACAAATTAGTTGTCTTGTATTTTACCCTCTGTACTCTAGAGCAAATTAAAGACTACCTCCTATACTACCACTACTACCAAACAAAGTACTTTCTCCCGGTTTAGCCCTGAACCGGTAGATGCCCATAACCGATTTGGTTTTTGCTTGGGCCCAACCAACATCTCACAATGACCTACAGTACTTGTAGAAACTGTACCAAACCCCCCCCCCCCCCCCATCATAGCTATAGTCAAAGCAGACCCATGTTGTTATGGACTAAGAAGAATAGGACTTGACTTGCTTTGGCTATCCTCCTCAATCGAGTGCACAAACTTCTTTAACTCGTCCATAAGACAATGAAAGTGATCATTGTTAGGCAAGAAGTAGAACCCAATGGTAGCCTGCTTCAGATACAAAAGGTTAACATCGTGACCACTCTTCTTGAGACCATCGACATAAGCCAACTGCCAATCCTGAACAAGATCTAAACCAGCAACAACGACAAGACTCTTGGGAAAGTTAACACCATCAAGGCTTTGACCACGAGGGCCAAAGGGATTACAAGCCGGATGATCTCTATCTTCACCTTCAGGTAGATAAGCCCTCCAATACCAATCTCGATCTTGAATAGTAACAAAGTATTTCCCATCAAGTCTCTTCTCAGACTCAGTCCTCTCCACTCCACCGAACATAGGATGAAGAAGAATGTTTCCAAGAACTTTAACTCCTTCATTGGCAGCTCTCACAGCGACATTATGAGCAATGTTGCCACCTGAGCTATCACCAGCCAAGTAAACATAAACATTTGAGTCTTTACCACTCTGAAGCCAGATTCTGGACTTGACCCATTTGAGAGCATTCCATCCATCGTCGTAAGCACAAGGGTAACGATGCTCCGGCGACCTCCGGTAATCAACGGAGACGACAACAACGCCGCAAATAGTGACTAGACGGCGGCAGAAAGTGTCGTAGATGGCGCTGTTGGCGGAGGAGTGAGTGAAGCTACCACCGTGGAAGAAAACAAGAACGGGGACGATCTCAGTGGTGCTGAGAGGCTCCGTTAAGTCGACGGTGCCGTGACGGGAGGGGTCGAGGGGAGCTGGGAGGTAGATTCTGGTGAGGAGGTTGGTGGAGGTGGAGTCGAGGTGGTCGAAGGAGAAGACACCGTCGACGGGGAAAGAGTTGGAGGGAACTTTGCGGTCGAGAAACTCTGCGAGGTGACGGTTGAAGGAGCCGTCGGGACGGCGGAGGAGGGTGTATGCGAGCTTGAAGTTGGAAATGAGGACCCATGTGTTGAGTGGGACTATTCTCTACAGTAAACAAAAGTTTACAACTTTCAGTGGATGGGACACGTTTTTGATTTTAATTTAATCTCTATGATCTTCACAGTCTAAGAAAATTTAAAAAAAATAAAAATAAAAATGGAAGAAAACTAAGAGAAATGGGTCAATACCTTGCATTCGTTTAGGTTGACTTCGTTCCCACCAGCCATAGTCATCCTCACAAACTATTTTCCTTAAAAACACAGTTTATCTTTCTCTCTATGTAACGAGGTGGTGTGAAGATTTTCAGGGAGAATCGGTTTCAGTGAAACGGCCTCATACCATTAAATCTCTCTCTGGGTTTCTTCAGCTGACGAAATAGATTGTAGAGTGAGAAGATGAAGACGGAAGATTTTTAAGGAGAAAATAAAAAAGAGAAGACAAGAGAGATAAGAAAGTACAGCAAGAGCAGAGTTTGTTCTTGTTCTTCTACTGAAGAGAGAGAGAGAGAAAGGGAGGAGAGTCAAAGGTAAGAGATGTTGAATATATTATAACCCCCATCGGACGGTGACAAAGGGGCCGGACGACCGAGTTTATACTGTTTCGACGTTTGGGTCCCACGTCTATCCACCTTTTCTCCAATTTATTTCTTTAATTTTCTGACGACGAATTAGTATTTATTTATACTAATCCTACAGCTAATTACCAATTTTAATCGGCTGCTTGATTATAAATAAAATAAAATCTATATTTAAAAAAATACAATTAAAAATATTTATCGTAACTGGCCATGGTGTCATGTGAAGAGAGGATTGGGTATATTGGCACGCCAGTCCCGACACGCTCTCTCATAAGTGCTCCTTTTGACCCCCATTTTTTCCTTAATTTCTTTTTTCCCCCACTTACTATTATAGTATACGGATATATGTTTATATAGTTTCCGACACTTCATTTTTATTAATTCACATCTATTATATTAAAAGAGAGGTCATGATTCATTTCATGTGTGATTTTTTTTTTATTTGGACCATTAGCAAAAAAAAATTTATTAAATATATTTCATTTCTTTGTAACCACTTCAATCATAATATCTTTGATATCTTTTTATTTTAATATAAATATGTATTAATTCTTTTTAAAAAAATCTGTTGAAAAGATTTTAGCAAGATCTTAACTTTAAAAAAATTATATAAATATTTCACAAATTAATAACTTGAATAAAATTTCGAATTAGTAATGAAAATAATTATACATTAATATATATATATATATATATATATATATATGAAAACAGATTTTATTCTTTTTATCTATTTAATAATCATAAACTATCAAATTAAATGAAATTATTATAATAAAGTGAATGTTATAAAATTATATTAAATTGATAAATTAATCAATTTATTTTCATAAATAGAAAAATATTAATGTTAAAAATATATAATATATTGGCAGAATGGATTAATATCAGTAACTATAAATACATGTATAAAATTAACATATTTTAAACTTTTATAATATCATATTATCTTTATAAACATAAACAGTTTAATAAACAGTAATCTAACTTTGAAACTCAAATAATAATTTAGTATAAATTATATATAAAATAATTTTCAAATATAATTTTTCATGCATATATTAATATCTATATTATTAAAAGAGAAGTACCCATATAAAATACTCCTTAATTTTCACTTTTATTTACAATAGTATACCACTAAAGTTATTAATTACCCTATCTTATAGGATTCTTTGTCTTTTCACTTTAATTAATACATTTCCAAAATCAAATTTCAACTAAAAAAATTATGGCAACAATAATTAATGAAAATAATTATTTTCATATATACCTTTCGTAATTAAATAAATAAATTCTATAGAAATTGTTTTCAATATATCGTCTACATGTTAGATTTGTTTGTATGATACCCAATATTTTTGATACAATAAATTGTTAATACACAGAAAAAAACTTAATGTAATACAATTAACTTTTACAAAAATTTCATCTAATATAAAAATTAAAAAATAAAATTAATACCCGTGCGGTCGCACGGGTCAAGCTCTAGTTTAGTTGTTAAAATACTACTACTACTACTTCATTATTCAAATCTTTCATTAATTAATAACCCCTCCCTCATGTCAGTTGGCAGAAAGAAAGGGTTATTTTACATATCCTTTAGTAATAATTACAAGTATATCTATGGATATACATAGTATGATTAAAAAAAACTAGTATATACTAAGTTTTGTGGTTTGGTGAGGGGGAGATGAATTTTTCATTTTCATAAAGACAATTTGTTAGCGATATTAGCCTATAGTCGAGTTCAAAAAAAAGGTGAGAAAAATAAAAGTTCCATCAAAGATCATTCATCATCTAATGATATACAATACGTAAAGTATGGGATGTAAAAAAAAACAAGTATTATAATGCAGCTTTAAGCTATGTAAGATAAAGCTTAGGGATCTTGGACTATTATTGATGGTTGTGACTTATGATAGGTGAAGAACAAAGAATTGATATTTTGTTTTTTTGGTCTCTTTTAGTTATATATATATATATATTTATTTAAATGTGAATGCAACTAGTAATAAGAAAATAAAATTGGTTGAGAGGAAGGTGACAAAAGAAACTATCCAGCGTGCGACCAACGCCATGGCATGTGGGTGGCGACAAAAGGGTTGTGTTGTTTTCTGTTTTGGTTATTATTATAAGAGAACTAAGCTTTGGTGTTCCATAAGCGCCCTCGTCCGGTCAACAAGTACTATGGAAATCTGTTTCTATGTTGGGCGAATGACATCATATGCCATTCAGATTCAGTCATGGACCCTCCCTTTCAACGTTGGACACACAACTGTTACTGGCCAAACATGACCATCCATCCATTTGGGCTTCTTTGGTTGCTATAAACATAATAAACCCAGAGTCTGTAAGCGGTACAGCAGCACTACAATCAAATGGGGATGTAGCTCAAATGGTAGAGCGCTCGCTTTGCATGCGAGAGGCACGGGGTTCGATACCCCGCATCTCCATTTCTCTTCTCTGAGAGTGGAACAATCATTTGGGTAAGACGTATTCATGGAAGTTGACATACAGCTACCAATTCAAACCTTAATTTTTTTCCTAAACGTTCATCCTTTTTAAAAGTTTTATTTCTGAATCAAAAATGATTCTGATTATTAAAAGGAGGAAACTAAACGTTGTACATAAAACAAACAAACCCTGAAGGAGAGAAATATAAACACAGACATAGACTATTATGAAATGTTTAACAAGTATTGGCCATTGAGTCGATAAGCAACTCATAGCCCTCGGGGACATTAGACTGAAGACGTACGCACTCAGCCAATGCAGGAACATCTGAACCAACGTCTAGGAACCGAGCCACAAAGAGAAGCAGATGAAAATCAGAGATCCTTTTCACGAACGGGAGGCTCCTTGCACGATCCATATGAGTTTTCAAAGCCCGCATTGTTGTTTCAATGTTCCGGTTCTCTATCGGGAAGGTACACGTCAATGGTCCCTGCCCAATTGAGCAATCAACAAAACACATAAAAGTTATACAAGAACACAAGTGGACTTGCCCAATAATAAATCTACAGCATTCAAAAAGTACATGTCACTTGTTCTTCCTACTTAGCTCTTGATTCATATCTTATCACTACTACTACTAGCTAGAGCAGATGCCAAGTCTCAAACTAAACAAAAAAGCTATGGTAAAGGGAAACAAAGACGAACCTGATGATCCAAGATCTTGATGACAACGAGGAAGAAATCATTATCAACTTCTTTAAGATCTTTAACACCAACAACCACCTCTTTCTTCATCTTAGAAAGCTTGGGATCATCCTCAGGTCCAATCTCCGTCTCAAACCACCCTTCCCTAAACAACCTAACACACATATCACTCATCTGAAACGCCTCAAAATGAACATCAGCACCACCGTCCTCATTAATCTCAAGCTTCACAACCGCGGTAACCCACTCCTTCAGCTCACTCTCCGCGTGAAGCTCCGCAGCAAGTAACACCTCAACATTAGACAACGTGTACTCCTTCTTGTCCTGCGTAACAGTCTGGTTAAATATAAACCCGACTCTCCTCATCCCCAACCCTAAAGCGATCGCATCGACGCGCTTCTCCTCCTCCGCGTCTCTCATGAGAATCAGCCTATCCTCCATCCCTTGCTGCGGCGGCTCGTACACGAAATTCACCTCCACCTCGCCTCCCTCCGAGACGCTCCCGTACATGAACCCGCCGCGTTTGACTGCAAACGCAAGCGACTCGTTGACGTAGTGCTGAAACGCGTTGGCGCAGTCGCGATCGAAGGAGACGGAGTCGCAGTGAGACTTCTCCTGGCGAGAGACGCGCATCTGGCGCGCGATGAGATCGTCGACGGTCATCTTCCTCCCGAAGGAACCGGCGGGGGTTACGGCGGGACCGCCGCGGATGGTGCGCTCGCCTTCGTAGGCGAGGTAGAGGATGGAGCCGTGGGAGAGGTTGAGAGAGGAGATCGGGAGGTTGGGGTCGGTCATGTCGGTGAAGCCGAGGAAATCATCGGGAGATTTCGCGAGGAGGAGGTTGCGATTTGTGGATAAGGTCTGGTTGTGGATTGGGATCTGAAGCTGATCTTGAATTAGGGTTTTGAGTTGGGAGACTGTGGTGTGAGATCCTTCGACGGTTACTCGCTCCAAGCCGTCTCTGCTTCGGATTCTGAGCATCATCATCTTCCTTGCTTGGTTCAAAACAGAAAGTCTCGAGAAAACTTTTGATCTATATTGTTGTTACAAGAATAAGGAAAGCAGATACTTGAAGTGTGATTAGTTTGAAGGTATATTTGATTTCCTCCTTCCTAAATCTCTCAGATCCCAAAAGCAAGCAAGAATCGATAAAGGAGACAAAACAGTTCGTGGGCTTTTAAAGTGAGCCCGGAGTTTTCTCTTTTAACTTGTAAATGGGCTTTACTATATGAAATCACATATCCCACAAACATAGGTATGTATTTAATCAACACACTAGATTTTTGATCCACACTTAAACGGGTACTATTTTTGTTGTTTTATCTACAGATGTATCGAGAAGTCTTTTGCTTTGATGATATAAAATGTCACATAATCAAGATCAAATTATTATGCGGGTATGATTTTTTTTTTTTTTTTTTATAATGTCTTAGACAATTTTTTATGTTTTTAAATAAGTTAACAATGGTTGTACCTAAAATATGTACTTGAGAAAAATTGTATATTTAAAAATTAAATGTCCAATTTTTTTTAGTTTTGTGATTAATTCTTAAAATCATTTAGTTACAAAATTTCAATCGCTCATTCCGACCCGCTCCGTCCGACCCGCAACGGGTTGAGTCATTTTTCTACTAAAAATTTTGACCCGTCTGATCCGCAAAGAAAATATATTTTTGCAATTTTTTTTATAGAATTTAGAAGAAAATCAGCCCATTAATAAAACCCATTAATATATAACTTTTAGGCTAAAAAACAAAAGATCATATTGCCATAAATGAAAATAAAAATTTGTTCATATCATTAAGGGTATAATTGAAAAACATAAAAAATTCATTAACCAGAATGTTTCTGTTTTAATGGTATTGTTTCAAACAGAAGTTTAATGTATAAAATAGAAATTAATTCGCGCTTTGATTTTTAAAAATATTAAGTATACAACTATTCTTTTGAACATTATATTTTGAGTATTCAAAAAAGTGTAAAAAAAAGAACATCATATTTTGAATTCTATGTTACTAAGATTAAAATTATTTTATTATAATGTTTATGTGAGTAATTTTTGTGATCTTTGAATTTGTGTTGTTCGTATACTTAACCTAAATGATATTAATGCTTATCCAGTTATTGTTTTTCTAAAAATAGAAAATAATGATATATGAAAACGTATATAATACATGTCAAATAATAGTATAACTAGGATAAGACATACGCCTTGCGCAAGATAAACTTATATAAAGATTACTTAAAAATAAATCTATATTATTAATTGAATTAATATGTTAATCTTTAAACAATTCAATATTTTTTTGTTAATTACATAATATGTTTACTGATAAGGTGATCTCACTATTAAAAATGTTTTAGGTTAAAATATCACTTACCGCAAAGAACCTAATGTTTAACTAAAAAAATCTCGGGTCTATTTGGTTACAATGAAACTATGTCAACTCGGTTTTATATCATTATTTAGCAATTTAAAAATTAATTATGGTTATGAGAAGTTTACGTTCATGTGCAATCATATCTATCTTCAATATTTTTCTCTTTTTTGTGTCTTTTTTATTTTAGTTATTGCTCCATATAAATATTGATTTTGAAGTTTATTCTCATTTCGTTTATTTGTTTTAGCCTGAGATTTAGAAAATGCATAAGATTTAAAATAATTAAAGAGATATATACTTAGGTTAAGATCTGCAATTTTTTGCAGAATACGTATTTTATATTTATTATCTATTTTAGGTTTTTCTGCATATTATGAAATAATAAAATAATAAGTATATATATATTAAATAATTAATAAATCAGTTACTAATATGTAATAAATTGGCGTGTGCATATAAATCTAACGATCACTCTTGTTTATTCGCAATTATGGTAAATAAATCAAAATAATCAATCATATCTATCGTATATGGTATATAATTAAATTTAAATGATATTGATATAAATATATAGCACACTTTTAGTATGGATATTAATTAAATGAGTTTTCTATTCATATGATTTTATGATTATTTGTATATTTGTGAGACAAAAATTTACACCAACGTTTTTTTTTAATGTGAGATGTTTAGCAGTTTCAATAATTTAGAATCATTTTTCCAAAAATAAGGAAATATTTTAAAATTAAAATATTAAATTTTCGATATATGTTCAATGCAAATATCAAAATATAAGTATGTATTTTTGTACGATGTATAGTTTTGTATATATATATATAGTTTAATTTATAATCATTTAAGAAAACAATGACAGATTTTAAAATTAAAATATTAACTTTTCAATATATGTTTAATGCAAATATCAAAGTATAAGTATGTATTTTCATACGATGTATAGTTTAATTTAAATGATATGAAATATATATATTAACATAAAACCTATTAAAATAAATTTATTTCTTCATATGGTCTTATAATAATTGTATACTAATATAGAAAAAAATTAAAATTTGATAAAAAAGCTTATGTGAGACTTTTAACAGTTTTAGTAATTTATATTCGTTTTAAAAAGTTCGAAATACAGCATATGTATAAAATCAAGATTTTTGTTATATGATTAATGCAATTGTGTAATTTATTTTAATAATAAAGAAATAAACAAAAATCATAAAAAGCATACAGATTGTTATCAAATATTTATTTTTTAAAAATAATTGATTGCCATATATATTTTAATCACTTCAGGTAATTCCGTAAGTTTTATTTAATAAAGCCAGTGGAACAATAAATATTTGATATATGCGGTCAACTTTAGCCTCCGAAATATTATATTGCTAGAGAATATAATTTTTAGACTATAGTTTATATAATGTGCTCTAGAATCCTTCGAAGTTGAATTAAAAGGCATAGAGAGCTGCCACGTAGGATATGATGGAGTTATTTTTTGATTAATACAAACTTAAGGTTATATCTTTTTAAAGGTTTCTCAATTAATATATAGGGGATGTACATCTTAATCATTATATGTAAATAACCATTTATTGTTTTTATTTTTTTTTTAAATTGTTTAAAATATTTTTATTTAACAAAATTATATATATAATATAATAGTTTAAGTTCGGAAGGTTAATTTTTATATGTATAGTTTAAAAAACAATGTATGATATTATATATTGATAATTGAATAAAAATCTGAATTTAATATTTAAAAATTAAATATTTATATTTTCGTCTTCGTGCTTATATTCACCAACTACATCATTGATATTTATAACTCACTATGTTTTAAACCAAAGTTTTAAATAATAATAAAATTTTTTAAAAATTAAGTTTATCACCGATTATGTTCTTTAAACTATATTTCAGTTTTTTTTTTAAACTATCTTTTAAGCATAACATTATTATTAGTCAATTAAATTTATTTAATTTAAAATGTTATAAGAATATTTAATATATTTTCTGTAATGTTAGAATTATATAATTTTGAATATTTAAACAATTGGGAAAAAAATAATTTGAAACCAGAGAAGATTATGGATTATAATAATTTAACTTGGGTGAATACATTTGAGTCTATGAAAAGAATATCAACTTCTATGAGTAGGTTTATGTTTTGGAAGTTGCGGGCTTCCCATCAATGAATCAACCTAACTAAAAGTTCGTTGTTACATAAATCTCCTTTGAGGTTATCAAACGTTTTTGGGATGGCAAAAGTTGATGGTGGAGCCATTGTTTTTTTTTTTTTCTGAAGTTCTTTGGAGTCTTCTTTTATGGGTGTGAAGTTGATGTTGATGAAATAATGAGTTTTATAAGGAATTGTTTGATGTAAAATTATACGTTTTTCTTTTTTTCTTTAATATAGTATGTCAATTTTTATATTGTATATTACTTATTTATTTATTTTTAACATTTAAATAAATTTTCAATGTAGTATTCCAATTTTATAATTTTATATTTAATTATTATTTATTTTTCCTTATATTGTGTATTTATGTTTCTTATACTTTATACTACATAATATCTATTTTTTTACATTTTAAGATATATGTTGAATTTTTAATGTAATCCTTTTTAAAATTATATATTTACTTATTATTTATCTCCTTATACTGTGTAATTCATTTTTATATTTTATTTTCTTAATATCTATATTTTATATTTTAAAGTAGATGTTTAATGCTTAATGTACCCTTCCCATTTTTTTAAATTGCACATTTATTCATTATTATTTTCGTATATTATATCTTTTACATATTTAAATTTATATTTTTAAATGTATATTTACATTTTTAAATTGTGTAATTACTTATTATTTCTTTTTCCTTATACTCTGTATTTCCAGTTCTTATACTTTATTTTACTTAATATCTATAATTTACATTTTAAGATAGATGTTTAATGCTAAGTGTACATTTTCACTTTTTAAATTGTTTATTTACTTGTTATCATTATTTCGGTATATTATATATTTATTTAATATCTATGTTTATATATTTAAAAGTATATTTACTTTTTAATGTTCTATTTTCATTTTAAAATTGTGTATTTGTTTATCATTTATTTTTCTTTATACTGAGTATTTCCATTACTTTTACTTTTTTTTATGAAATTTCAAATTTATTGATTACCTTAAACGGAAATATATACAAGCCCTATCATTTTTAGTGTTCAAAGAATAGAAACAATGACAAAAGAATTAAGTAATATGTGCCTCAAACCATCGTCTCATCAGTCCTTGTAGCCTTTGGCTTCAAAGAGTAATCAGTGGAGGAGAAACGGTTTCTGACTGTTTTATCCACAAACTTGGCAATATGATCAAGTGGTCTTGCTGAGTTGCTATGCTTTCTGTCATTACGTTCACGCCATATGTAGTAAGTGGAAACCTGCAACACAAGTCGCAGCAATATAAATGACATCTTTTCGAAAAGTCCCACTCGGATGCGCTCCATATTTATATCCCAGTCTGGGTCACGCTCTTGTCCTAGCAGGTTCCCACCCACTTTTATCCACAGCGTGAAGGTGTAGGGACAAGCAAAGAATAAGTGATCTCTTGTTTCATCAGGCTCACCACAAAAGAGACAGGTTTGGGGGTGGCCCCATTGACTCGTACGATGACCAGTTGATAGACGGTTCCGAACAGCTAACTGTTGGTGTCAAAATCGGTCACGACAGAAT